ATTTCTTGCAGTGTGACAAGGTTGTCTCATTGATATGTTCGAGCTCATCGCGTCGCCAATGGTTCAATGCACGCGCAACGGCCCAAGGTCTGAAAAGCATCATCCATGGTTGGGGAGTGCGCTGGAATGCAAAAGTGGATAGCAGAAGGCGTGCAGCTGCTGGATATGAGGTAAGTTACAACTCTACCGATGACATATACTTGTGAAGTTTGATGATTTGCTCTTATCCTATTACCTGGTGGTAGATTATTAACAGCATGCTACACACCAATTCAAAAACCAATCGGTTCTTCCGTGGTTTAAGCATCTCCGATGAGGAATGGAATGCTGTTCGTTCGGTTAACCAAGTTTTGGAGGTGTGTATTACTGTTCCACGTTTCTTTATGGAAACTGTTGATTGATAACTTTGTGATGTAGGTCTTTGAGCGTGCAACCAAACGCATGGAGGGCGACTTTGCCTCAGGATGCAAGGTGTTGTCTGAATATCGCAAGGTACAGAACGAACTCCAAGTCCTCCAACAAAGCAGCGCGTTTCCTAGCCTCGACGTAATGATCACCGAGATGCTCAAACATCTCAAAGTATACGCCGACGAGGCCGCCGCGACCGAGGTTGTCCAGATTGCTACTGTCCTCAACCCACGACACAGAATGAATTACATCAACAAGTTCTATCCAGATGTGGCAATTCAAGCGAAACACTCACTAGATATGATTTTTTCGGAGTACTCTGACAACATGCCCAAACCAAGAGCACCTTCAGTCAAAGTTGCTTTAAATCAACCCGAAGAAAGTGATGACGATGAGGATAATATGTTTCCAGCCGCACCGGCAATGGAGACTGTCCAGGATGCTCAACTTGAACTTAGACGCTACCTTGAAGGCGCTAATCCAATTGGCAAAGGCACCAGTGTGCTTGACTGGTGGGCCGTGAGTAACCTTTCACTCTGCATTACCATTATCTTACTTGCCACTAATTTATAAACTTTATGCTATGTAGAGCAATGCAAAGAGTTTCCCAGTCTTGGCAACTATGGCTCGGGATTACCTATCTCTCCCTGCGACTTTGTGCGCGGTCGAGCGTACGTTTTCTTCCGCTGCCAACATCGCCGTATCAAGTCGAGGAGCGATGAAACCTTCAACCATCTCACAGGCTGTTGCTTGCCGAGAATGGTTGAAGAACAAGGCCGTGCCGGCTGGTAAGTTTCAGGAAGCGGTCACTTACCTTCTAGATCATGAGTTGCGCGAGGGGAAAAAGAAGAACAAGGAAATTTGAGCTCTGTTGATTACTATGTATGGGTTACGATTATTTAAATTCCTGTAGATAAATTGTCAAATCTCATTTAATTGTTCTTCCTTGTGATGTTTCACTTTCTTTCTTTCCATGCACCTCTTTCCCTTTCCACATCAAGTCTTTTATCTTTTAATACTATCTTTTAATGCTATTGTTTTGAATACATTTGAGTAAATCATTTTTCTTTCTACCCAAGCGCTGCGTGCGCGTCGCCTACGGTGACTACGGACGCTACGGTGTGGTTCACTACGGGTTGACCGTACCGTAGTCTGGTCATTGGGCTTAGGATACCCTTGACTACACTACGATTACGGTGTGGTTTTAAAGCTAGACCGTACCGTACCGCTGTAGGGACCGTTTTCCACTACACTGCGGTACGATTTGCGTGTTGGTACTGCCTTAATTTTGATGATCAAAAGATTTCAAGCGTAGTAATAATCTTGACACACTGCCTCCTGTACCACCACTGATTACAATCTTTTGCTCAATACTTGAAATGGCAAACTGAACCCATGTCAATAACCACTACTCTTTTTATCCGTGCAATAAAGCAGAGTTCACCAAAATGTAAATTCATCGATGGACATGAAATCAAAACTGATTCAGAAAATGACTTCAAGCCTAATCCTTATTCTTTTTCTTGTGTTTTTGCTCTTTCCACCAAGGGATGAGAGCAATTTTGATTACAGATACTTCTGACTTTGTACTGCTAAACTTTCAACTATCTGAATGTCACTCTAAAGTTTCAGTGATGCCAGCATGGAAACCTCTTTAGTCAGACCACGTCATTTTTTTGTCATTCTTATGAGATTTCTCCCTTGCATCTTGAATTGGTCATACAGCTCACTATAAGTCTATATTGCTATTGTATTGTATTCCTTCAGTTCACTGAAATCTATATCATGGACTTGTATGAGCATTGAGAGGTCAGCAATGCTCTGGTTAGAATGGTGAGAAATTGTTTGATCCCAGAGGGATGGAAGCATCTTGCCCCATTTAGCAATTAGTACAAAACCACACATCTCCTGATATTAGAGTGGTCAGTCTAGGAGTAATATGAAACAATTTCTGGTTCCAGAGGGATGTATGGATGGCTCCACAAGAAGTGTCACTGTGACCAGCCTCTGGTAACTTTGACTCTGGAAGAGACATAGTCATTGTGTGTGCATGATGCATGATCAAGGCACTGAAACCCAAATGCGTGAACCAACTCACATCTTTTTTCAATTTATAATATTGAATGAGTGGTCAGTCAGGACCAAATTAATCTTTGTACCACATTCATATTTTCTAGTCATGAGTTATTCCTTGTGTGCACACTATTCTTCATCCATTTTTGCTACTTCAAGGGTCATAGGGGAAATACAAAGCAGCCAGATGATATCAACACATCTATTCTGATTGCTATCTTTTTTCATGTCTAGGTCAATTCTTCCATCCACAGGTTCTTGGTCTCCTAGAGGCTAGAGCCATCACAGGACCATAGTATATGCCAAAGATTTGCCCCATTCTAATAGCTAGAGCACAGTACCTCTTGTATACATTATAGCTCAACTTTTATAAGATCTATTCAGACAATTATTTCTTCTCCAAATAAACAAATGAGACATCACCTTTAGGTGATATTTTCATTGATAAAGCCTTCACACCCCCCAACAAGCACCTTCCCCTCAGGCTCTATGTTAATATAATAACCAGGTGAAGAACTCTTTGTAGGCATTGTCTCTGTCAAGGTTGCTTTCAAAGCCCATGTCAGCAATCAGATTAAGACTTGATAAGTTTACATTCCATGTTAAACCAAATCCTTTTTGATCACTACTATGCATCTCTTTCCAGAATGAAACCAAATTATGTACTCAAGTGATCCAATCCAGGAACCAGTAAAGCTTCTCATGTGATTTGCGCTAATAAATGTTGTGATTATTGAAGTCTTGATTTTCTCTCTTCTTTTCTCTAAAACACTAGCAATCATCTCACTTATCCGCATTGAGCGATTGTTCTATTTGTTTCCATTCTACTTCTACGTTACTATCATTTGTTGCAGCCATTCCCAATGCGGTGAATGAGATTCACAACATTGACAAGTTTTGTTAACCTAAGTCCAGAGAAATGTTTAGTATATAAAGAAATTTTTGTCGCCTCATACTTTGTTTCCTCACTCAACAATTACTTTATCTTACCTTCGCCACCTTCCAACAGGTTTTTAGCATTTCTCTCATCACTCCATCGTGATCTCTTGGCCCAATAGCGCCCTAACTCACTCTGTCATGTTTATCTTCAGAACACCTCTGTTTTTCTGTACCTTAATAGTGATTTGACCTTGGATTTTACCTATTTTTGTGTCATTAAAACAGTTTGAAACTGTCATTCTAAGTCTTCAATCTACTAGTACAGCCACTCTCAAACTTTTTACTTTTTTCTGCTTTTTTATCTTTTTTCCAAAGTCACTTCTATTATTACACATCAAAACCTATGAACACACATAACCATCTGTCCCACCCCCACCCCAAAGATCCTCTCTCAATTCCAGGTGGTGGGCATGGCATGTTTGGCACCTCAAATGGTACACCAGAAAATTCTCAAAATAGGGGATGGCACTGCCCTACACCAATGGTAATAGACTGCTTTACATCCATTTGAGATATCTGATAACTTCTCAGTTCTCTTCAAATTGTCAACAAAAAGTCCTTTGATTAAGAAACTTGTCCTGTTGTTTTTTTGAGTGACACCAAGCTTTTAAAAGTAGATGCTCAGCATCTGATCATCTACAGTACCACCACCTTCATTACTGCTTTCATCAAAGAATCTCTCTGTTTTTCTTTTTTTTTCTTTTTGTACTTTCCTACTCAGACACACTGGAAATCAAAGAGCTGTGTGCCCCATCTTCTCAATGCTGCATTCATTGTTGTTTTTAAAAGCAATTTGTGATTTTTTTCAACATTTGAATATTTTTACTTTTTGGCTCACAGGGCGCTCCCACGTGCCCCTTGCTACTTGGGCGCGCCTCAAAACGAGCGCTTTGTGCTGAGGCGCACCCTCCATCTGACTCTCAATGACCACAGTGACTGACCCCGTGATTGTGCGCGCACAGGGTCTGTCCTCTCGTCAATTGTCTGGGTGAGGTTTATGCCACAAGAAGTTGATTTATTTTTCTTAGATCTAACTTGGATTTACTTTTACATCGGGATTCTTGATAAAAACCCCAATTAGAGCTTTCCTGGGTCCTGGTGGACATGAAAGTGTGGCAGTGCATGAAATGAAATGGTACTGATCAACTGATGTCGAAGAAAGGTAATCTGTTCTGATTCAAGTTTTAGAATTGTAGAGACCAGATTTGTATGAAATGAGAAACCAGTTTGAGTACCGCTATTTGAAAGAAGCAATTGTTCATGATCTGTATGATTAATGTTTTAATTTTGGATTTGTAGAGGAGATCTGAGGAGATGTGAATGAAATCTTGATTCTTTTATGCATTTAAATGTGAGTCTGAGCTTGACTTCTTGATGAAGAATTGATTGATTGATTTTTGTTAATCTAAAGTGTCAGTCTGTCCAAAAGGTTTCTTTATGTTTGAGATCACACCACTTTAAATTCAAGAAGAATTGCACAAGATCAGATCAAGAGACTTAAGATCACTGATCACGCTTAAGTCGTCAATCTGATTTATAATCCCATCGAAAGCTGGATTGATTTGTCATCAAGCTTTATTCACTCATTCACTTCACTCATTACTTTCAATCAATCACACTCATTCAGAATCACCATCATCCGAATCACCATCACACTTGATGATCAAGTAATCCAAGATGACTAACTTCAATCGAATCATTCAAACCATCAAGTCTATCAAACATTCAGCTTCTCAAACTAATTTATCAGATCATCATCATCAACAACTTAATCAGCATCCTACTTCCAATCCATCTTTGTCATCCACCATGATTAATCATCCATCATTACCAATCTTATCTCTTGAGATTCCATCTGCTCATTTACTTACAAATCAATTCAATCCAACACCAAACACTTCAACTCAAGATGATCAAAACTTAATTGGTGAGGATGTCGATCTGGACAGTAGTTCACTTCTTTCCCTTCAATCTGATCGTTCAAGTAGTCCTTGGGTAGATTTAGGTCATAGGATCACTACTCTTGATTCTACTTCTCATTTCTTAAGTTCAGGTGGTTCTAGTCTTTCTCCTGCTGGTCATCGAAGAACTCAATATGTTCATTTCGGTCCTACTCAACTTACTGAACTCGTTAGATTATGTTCTCCTATGATCTTCCAACGTGGTCTTGATACTCTGGGTCTCTTTAGACCTTGGCGTACAGCTGAACGTAGTCTTCATATCGGTCGATTACAACTTTTGTTTATTAATTATTTACTTCCTAGTCCTCCTTCAACTTTAGAATCTCATCATGAACAGAATCCATCTCTCACTACAACTCGTTCGGTAAAAGTTGAAGATGTTCAAGATGAATTAGTTTTTACTTTGGTTCATGATCTGATTCATGTACTGAAATGGGCTATTCGTCATCTTTCATATCAATCCACTCGATTCGCACTTCAATCAACTTGGTACGAAGAATTCAGTCGAACAGAACGTGAAAAGGGTTATCCTCAGAATGCATATACATCTATCCTATTACCACTCTTACCTAATCCAACTCAAGATTTACTGGATTCAATCTTTCAATTATTATCAGCTGTGGCAGCACATGTAGATCAGAATGCGATGCCAGCATCTCAATTATGTAGATATCTTGGTTTTTGGATCTTAGGACGTGGTACAGATTCGTTTGTTAGCTTTGATCATCTTTACTTGGAATGGGATCGATCCTCTCGTGCATTCGAACATCTCTTCTTGGCTTATCTTCGATCTCAAAACAAATTACCTAAACGACTTAAAGAATTAGTTGGGGTGTATCCTTTGAAACCTGCTGCTTTAGTCTTTACTCCACGTTTTACTACTAAAGTGATCAAAGTCTTGAAAGTTCAAATCACTACTTTTGCGAGTCCTGTTCAAGAACCTATCGAATCGAAACAACAGGAAAATGTTGATAGTCATCAACGTTCATCAAGTCTTCGTCGTCATACTCGTACTCCTACTGTTCGTCAAGCTACTCGTCCTCCTAGTCTTCGTCAATCTACTCGCACTCCTAGTCTTCGTCAAGTCGCACGTTCCTATTCTCGTTCCCGACGTTCGGCTTCAATTTCTACTAGCACACCAGCTTCTGTTCCGCCCCCACCATTACCTCAACCACGTGGACCGCTTGATATTCTAAAGGCAGCAAGTGAAGCAGTTTTGAGCAATGGTCATGATGAGGAATCACTTACCAAGTCACCTTCCTATAAGATTTGGCAAACAGCCCTTGAGCAAGCCAAGTCTTCAGATCCGCTTCATCTTCCACTCACGGAGAACTCTATACCCAAATCAGAGCCATTAGTCAGTTTACTCGACAATGAAACTTTACGTGTGATTCAACTCACCCGACCTCAAGCTGTTACCCAACCTATCATACACGAACCAACACCCAACCCATCTACCGAACCTATTCCTACTTCTTCCAAGAGTCCATCAATAGGTCGACCTAGATCATTTTCACTTGATGTTTCTCCACTTCATTCGACACCTGTCCATCTCACTACACTCTATGAACACAGTTGTTCATCCCGAGTACTTTTATCTACCAAACCTTTTCTCGAAACCCCTCTGAGCTCTCAAGAAGCTTCAGTTGGTTCATCTTCACTAGGACCTACAACTTCATGGGCCGAGTTTGTGGCTTCTGGTTTTTCTTCTTCTACACAACATCCTGAAACTCAACTTGTTACACCTGAACCCATCGAACTACCAGCACCACCACGTGCAAGTATGTCGACGGTTAGGAGTGCAGCAACTACGGTTAGAAGTGCAGCCACTACAGTTCATCAATACAAACGACGGACCATCACTCGAGCAAAACGGCATAAAGGGTTTACACCCTCGATCCGATCTTTCAAAGCTGATGAACAACTTACACCTCGAATAGATACCCCACCACCACCACTCCCTCCTCTTCCACCTCTCTTGAGTTCAGTAAGCTTGATGAACGTAGACGAAGCTTTTCCTGATGTATGGTTAGATACGCTTGGAGAACCGATGATCCGATCGAAATGGCCTAACTTTGTGTTCTCTGGCTTAAGAAAAGAGATTTCTAGATCAGATCAGGATCAAAAGATTTCTCATTTCTTGGTTGAGGAATCTAGATTGGAATCTAAACGTGAGGAAGAAGAGATGGTCCAGATGGGTCATCAAGGTATCGTTCCATCGGAGCCTCGTCTTGTTAATCCGAATCCTGTTGGGTTAGAAGAGTTGGGTGTTATGAGCCAAAGTGAAAATGCTTCACATCTAAACCATATACCTGTAAGTCTTCATCCATTCAAACCGTAGATTTTCATCAGACATTAACTTTTTTTGAATGATTAGATTGATGGTGCTGGATCAGAAGGAACTCATCAAGCTTTGAGCATCAGTTCAATGTTTTTGAGTTTGGGTAAACATTCGAAACGGTGGATCTCGGGTTTGTTTGATGATCATCATTCTCGTTTGGGAACTCATTGGATTAATCATAAGAATCAAAAAACGAAACTTACTAGTGATGTGAGTCAATTGGTTTGGTTTTTTTTTGGTTGCTGGACGGTTTGATTGATGTGATTGGTTTTTGGTTTTTTTGGGTTGAAGGTTGAAGGTTAAGGGTTAAGGGTTGAGCTGCTTGGGATGTTTTTTGGGGATCAGGCGGGGTTTGTTGCGCTTGAGGATTAGAGAAGAGTATCTTCCATGGATGTGGTTTGTGGTTTGTGGTTTGAGGTTGGGGATTGGTTTAGTGGAATCATATTTGATAAGTGATAGGTTTCTTTTGAAGCAGATTAAAGAGGTTTTGGGATCAAAGAAACTTTGGTTTTGGTTTTGTTTTTTTTTCAAGTTTTTTTTTTTTGCTGAAAGTACCTCGTCCTGAAAAGTTAAAGTTGAACAGTTTGATTTGTTTTGGTTTGATTTTTTATTAACTTCAAGAAACTTTTTTAATTGTTATTTCAAGTTTCGCTTTTTTAGTTTCCTTCATACACATTATACACACATAAAGAATACGATTCCAAGAGTTTTTTCATTTACCCTTTGCTTTGATAGTTTCAAGTACTTACTACTCTTTTTGCAGAACTCGTCTCTCGTTTATTTATTGATGGTTTCGAATTAGATTGTTTTGTTTTTTTTCGCAGACGCAGACTGTTTGGTTTAGTTTATTGTACATATAAACGTTTAGAAGTTGTGTGTGGAAAGTGAAAGTTGTTAGTGAAGGATTGGATGGGCAGGGGTATTTATATACAATGCATATAGTAATTTTTTATGTTGAAGGGAAATATGAACAATTTTTCTTTGGTGGATTTGATTTGGTTTTGGTCGTTTGGATATACATATTTGAAATTGATTTTTTTTTCAAAGTGGTTAGTTTATGGAAAATAAGTGAGAAAGAAAAAAGATGATCAAAATGAAAAGTTTGATCAAGAATGAATCAATGAATCTGAATAAGCAGATTGTTGAGTTGGTTTTTTTTCTAAATGTGAAAAAAGGCGTGCCAGACGATTCTTAAAATAGTGGCACGGCCCTACACCAGTGGCAATAGACTGCTTTAACACTTATTTGAGATGTCTGATGGTTTCTTGGTCGTGTTTGAATTGTTAACACATGAAAAAGGTATTTGATTGAGAAAGGTATCTGGTGGGTGGTTTTGGGTGATCTTGAGTTTACGGAATAGATGCTTTTGCGCCTGATCATTTATCTTGATTTCTGTTTTCATCAAGGAATTTCTCTTTTTTCTTTTTCTACTCTTTTTGCACTTTCCTACTTAGACACAGTGGAAATGAAAGATCAGTGTGCCTCATTTTCTGAATCCTGCAGTCATCACGTTTTCGAAACCAATTCTTGATTTTGGAAACGTTTAGAGACTTTTTCTACTTTTTGGCTCACAAGACACACGCCTTAAGTTTTAACTGAGAAGAATCTATATTTTTTATTATTTTTCAAAGATTTATTAAGGTTTTTATTGAGATCTGCATGGTTGGTAAGACTAATCTATAATAAATCCTACTGAACTGAGGATTCTTCAAGATTTCAAAAAGATAAGAAATGGTTTGATATTTGGGATTTGGTTTACTGAAGATGAGGGGAACTTGATCAGATGAAAAAAGAATTAAATTGATAGAAAATTATTGAGAGATAAGAAAAACAAATGTAGATGAAACAATAAGAAAAAAACAATCAAGAAAACAAAATGAAACCAAATACATAAACAAATTGAAAACAAGATTGAACTTGAACAAATTCTACTATCATCAATTCACATCTCACTATAGAATTTATTTAAAAATTCTAACCCAGCCAACACTTCAGCGTGTGTTTTACCACCGTGAATCACCTCGGGAGCCGAAGAAGGTAATCCGAAAGGAGAAAGTAATGCTTCGTGGATCGTATAAAGCTTCTCCTTTGGAGTCGGAGTAGGTTGTTTCTTACTCAACCACCTTGGGGTGGCCGAGCTTGGTCCGGTTGACGCGATTCTTCTTGATGATGGGGTGGACATTGGCAACTTGGAAGTAGAGCCAATTGGTGATACCACACTCGATGTGGCTGGCGACGATGAAACAGTGAGCCCAGGTGTGAAGAAAGTTGAAGACACCTTGCTGGGCAGTGTGTGTCTGTTCTTTCTGGGGACTCGGACTGGTGTAGAATTTGACCAGTCGACCGAGTTGGAATCGTTTTGGAATTTGTGCATCTCTGATCTTGGAAAGTCGATGCCTTTTGACTTTCCGTGTTGTGAGGCCTGAAAAGAAATCGAATATAAGTATAAGTATGTTGTTGAAAATTATGCGGTGTACGTGGAAATAGAAGAAACAATCGAGTGGAATATGACGAACCGAAATAACACCGTCATCCGCACTGGGTCCAGCGATTTCCACCTTCGTCTTTACAGTTTCAAAGGGGTGGATCACCTTTTGGCTGAAGTTCTGGTTTACGGGGAAACCAGCAGGAACACGGATCGGAACTTTGGTCTATGTGCAGAGAATACGTTGTGTCAGATAAGAGGCAAACATAAGATGCCAGAAGGTTAGTGAGAACGTCACTTACCGATCTTTGGCGTGCGTATCGGCGTGATGTCGCGTTGTTTGCCGATCTAGCCAACGCTGCTAAAAGTGGATCGGATTGGTCCTGTTAAATCGACAAAATAAAAATAACAGATGAGCTTCAGTTATCAATGACGAAACAAAAAATGAAAATGTAACGATATCATTGTAAAATCAATCAAGTGGAACACAAACTAACCAAATCTTCATCATCATCCGCATCGACTTCGGCCGTCTCCTCGTTCAGATCATCAAAGGTACAAAGTAGCCTTTGACTAAAGTTTTGATTCACTGGGAATCCGGCTGGAACACGCACAGGAACCTTTGTCTATGGGAAGGAAGTACATATATCAGATCAGATGAAGATAAAGGATCACAAAAGTTACTGAGAAAGTCACTTACGGATCTTTGAGAAGCGTATCGGTTCGAAGTTGAAGTGTTGGCCGAGCGAGCCAAAGCCACCAAGAGCGGATCACTTAGGTCCTGTTAAAGGAACAAGATCAATGAAAGGCGATGAGTCCAACGACCATTAATGAAACGGTAGAGACGATCTAAAGACATCAACGCTTACCAGTGTGGGTTTCACAACCGGTTTCGGGTGTGCCATTTCATAGGCTTTGGCACGCTAAAGTAAAACATCAAGGTTAACAAGAGAATCACAGGTATTTGGCAAGAGGATAATATAGCTCACTTTAAAATTGGAGGACGAGATACCAACAACCTTGTTAGGCTTATCCGATAACTTGAGTGCTGATAAAAATCGTGCACGGCGACAGGGTTGGTTGGATTGGGAATGCATATCAAAGAATTGCGGTGAAGAGGGATGGGTAAAGATAAGGAATTAAAGGTGTATGTGGCTTTCGAAAGGGTAGTCACGAGAGGATAAGGATGTTTTTTAGAGAACTAGCGAGAAAGGTAAGTGTTAGATGTGTTTGTCAATGTTAGATTGGATGAAATGATATATCGATGGAATGATGATGAGAAATGGTTTGTGGTGAGCAAAAAGGTGAGTATTTATATTGAATTCCGTCTCACCAGATAATGCTAAGGAGGTTCTCTGACTTCATACGCAAAGGAGCGCATGGATGAGTTTGGCATCAAATTCTTAGGCAGGCACCGAGTTCTATCTACTTTGTCCTGAATAATTTCCTCGCCATCTTTTAGTTGAGAGCACGGGAAGGATCCCTTGAAAGGAAACTTGGAGTCACACTCAACAAGGGCAATAAGTATGGTGATTTTCGATTTTAGTCAGTTCTTATTCGAGATCCAAACATATTCTATCCATCACATGTTTCCTCAAAGCGCCCAATATATTGTTACGTGGAAAGTTGTTACCCGAGTTTTGTAGATCAGGTCGCGAACATATCGACTGAATAGTAAGATGGCTGATGACCGTTTAGAAATATGTGAGAGTTGATAGAATACTGCACTAAATCTTGCAAGAGAATCAATCAGAGGCACTCACAAAATCAAACACGGATTATGACCAGGTTGAAGAAAGGAATCGGAGCGTACTGTCTTAATTTTGATGATCAAAAGATTTCAAGCCTGATTATAATCTTGTAACACTGCCTCTTGTACCTGTGCGCATTGCGATTACCTTATTTCCCTCAATTCTTGAAATGAATAATTGATCCCACATGAATAACCGCTCCTCTTTGTCTGTGTGCAATGGAGCAGAGTTCACCAAAATGTATATTCATAAATGGACATGAAATCAAAACTGATTCAGGAAATGACTTCAAGACTAATCCTTATTCTTTTGCTTGTGTTTTTGTCACTTGATCAGCTTACACTAGGTTCCATCACCCTTTCCACCAAGGGATGAGAGCAATTTTGGTTAAAGATACTCTTGACTTTGTATTGCTAAACTTTCACCTTTTTGGATTTTCACTCCAAAGTTTCTGTGAAGTAAGTATGGAAACCTACTTGGTCAGGCCAAATCATTGTTTTTTTGTCATTTTTATGAGCTTGTGCCTTTCATCTTGAATTGGTCATACTGCTCACTATAAGTCTATATTGCTGTTAGGTTGTATTCCTTCAGTTAACCAAACCTATATTGTGGACTTGTATGAGCATTGAGAGGTTATAAGTAATGATCTGGTTGGAATGGTGAGAAAATATTTGATCTTGACAGAAAGTCAAAAGTTATAATTGATCCAGTAAGCTTGGATGGATAGTTCAGCAATTTGTACATGCAAGATCACACTTCTCCTGATGTTAGAGTGGTCAGTCCAAGTGTGATATGATTCAATTTCCAGTTCCAGAGAGATGGTGCAGCGCAGTTTAGGTGCAAACTGCACTGTGCGGCCAAAAGTGGCAGTGGACACTGCGCTGCGCTGGTAAAACACCGCAGTGGCCAGATTTTATGAAAACCCGTGCGCTGTGATACGCGCAGTGCAGCGCAGTGCAGGGACCCAAAAACTGTGCAAAAAATTTTTCACCAGCAGACAAGTTCGAGTCTCAAGACACACCAGAAAGAGCGCACAACTCTGGGCAAATACAAATGAAATGAGAAGGCCAAATTTGAATGATATCTTATAAATAAAAAATCATAAGAGAAAATACTCGATTGTAATTAAGTAATTGAAACTAGGCAGCTTTTTTTTTGCCAAACCAGCGACAAGCTGTTCGACAGCAGCCACCGCCTTCCCAAGCTCTCCATCGGGCACAAACTTCTGCTTCAACCATTGACAGACGCCAACAGCCCGTTCAATCGATCTTGATGTGAGGCCGCCCCGTCTATTTGAACACACGATTGCTGCAGTTGAAAACGTCCTTTCAACTGCGCAAGAAGAGCCAACACAAGCTAGGAAGTCACGAGCCAACTTCGCGATTTTTGGAAATTGCCTTAGGCATGCAAAACGAAATATAAAAGTGAAGGAGAAAAGGAACAAGTATAAGTTGTGACAACTTTCAATTTTATAGAGAAGAGCCAACCCTGTGCCAGCAACGCACCGCACAACAGAAAGCGTGTTTTTTGGTGTGTTGCTCCGCAACACGCAACAAATATGGGACACAAAGTAGAAGCCGGGCATGTGCCCAGATTTTTTTGGCAGTAAATTTGAATTCTGGGCCCGGACTTTTGCCCAGAAAATCGAAATTTACAGGTAGGCCGGAGGATCTGGGGAACCGCTGAAATGCCTCTGAGCCTCTGAGAATCCAGCGTAAGCCCATGACCTATGGGTTTACAGAGCGCCGGAAAACCAATTTACACAACCTTTTGTCTACCTAGGCTGGACCTAGCCTTTACTGATACCTAACGTCATACACAATTGGACCTTTTAATCCTACCGTTAAAAACTAGAGGCTTGCATGTGGTATCACTCTTTCAAACTAGTGACATCCGTGTCGTCCCCACTTCCCACACCCCATGATCCATCCCTTATGTATGTGTGACGATTGCCAACACAACACTCTTCCTTTCACCACTTCAGCAATGCTCTTACGTGACTTCGTCCACCAAATGGACGCCAAAACACCTCAGTTATCAGCCACCCTCACTGTAAAGGATTTTGTACGCTTTGCTTCTCTCACTGCAAAAGTCCAACAAGTTGCCGGGGAATCGTTACGCCCCACACCTGCTCAAACCACGGCGGTCATGCCATTTCTGATCTCTGCGCTTTTGACTCAAATACCTGAACACTTGATGGGCGAATTATGGCGCCTAGCGTTTACTCACTTGCCCGGATGCGACATCGACACCTCTGCCGCTCTTCGACTGTGTGGCCTGTCACCCGATCTTACCAACAAGCTGCCGGAACAATTCTTACGTGCACCTCTATTGATATGTATCTGCTGCCCGGAGGCTTCCGCCTTGCACATCCATTCGCGTCTGGATGGTTATCTCTACGATACCGACGGCACCCACGCCGTTCAGACAGTGATCCTGTGCTGCTCCAGTCAGATTGTCTCCATTAAATGACCCCCTCTTATACTATTTGACTTTCAACTGACATCTTTGAACAGACCCAACGTGTGGGACCTTCTACAGGCCCAGCTATTACACCAAAGATGGTTTCCAAATCTATTACTCGCAGGCAATGGGACGCGAACCCAATTATCTGCATATCCACTGTCATTTCTATATGACCTGCCGTTTGGCTTACATGTTCCAAGTTATCCAGATGCTAGCGCAGTGAGCCCTTGATAATTCATTTCTTCTTTATATCTTTCAACTTCAGTCCCTGATGCAATGTTTGTTGCAGTGTATCCCACTTCAATCTGGTCAATTGGTACAACCAGATATTCGTAGAGGACACCCCCATAGCACATTTTGACCCCAACCAAAAGTTCACCCCGTCCATGTCAGAGGAGGTGTGCCGTGATGGACTCATTATTCATTCGTTGATGAACCACGCCAACCGCCGAGGAATTCACCAGGCTGTCACTTCAACTGGGAATGACTCGATCCGTTTTGATTCCGCAATACAAGACCACCTGGGGAGGTTATCAGCTGAAGGAACACTGTATTGTGACCACTTCTGTTCCAGCTGTGTCCGGATTACTTCACAAACCGATCCAGAGACCGGAGAAACCTTTTATAAATGTAAGTCATGCCATATTCGACGTCTCTAGACTTGACAATTGGCCGGCCTTAGCCTGACTTACATCATTCCAGCAATCCGCGCCGTCGTGACCGATGGTCTCACCATCGGGCACTACTGGTGCAGTGCCTCATCTGAGCAATTACAAGACATTGCAAAACGTTTCGGTCTGCCCGCACCTGAAGGACCTTGTACAAACCATCTCAACTCGATCAATGATTGATACTGTCCGGATCACTTCCTCATCCTCGGTGGGAAATGCCGTGCTCAGCCTTGTCCTAAAGCGGTGTAGTATTTAAAGCTCAACAAGAGCTTTACAACACCTAAGAAGGGATAATCTACTACGTGTAATATAGTAGAAGTTGCCTAAAGACTGCCTTCTTCAAAGAAACCAGCACAAGGGCACTTGCTGACCACTTTGTGATAACAGAGAAATAGATAAGGCACCAGAGAAATAAAGCAATACTGTTGTTAAGTATTATTCCCAGATTTTAAGCGCAAAAAGTCACACACTATGTTTATTACTAGCAATACTGTTGTAAGTATTATTCCCAATTAGACTTGTAGTCTTTAACACACGTAAATAAATTTCTCCTTGCTTTGAAGGGGCGGATTTAAGTGATCTTAGTACAAATATAGTAAATAAATGATGATTTATAACACTACAACAAAGGTATAAGATGCAGAAAAGGGAGCTACAATCTTAAAATCATCAAGGAGTACTTATATCCCCATGTAACAATCTTTACAACAGTCAACAGCCTAAAAAACCAGTCAAATCCGCCTAAATAACCCTAAAAACCATGTAATGACGCAATGTAATGATCTTGTTACTAATGTATGATGTAATTTTCACAGCCAAAAGTGATCAATGACGCAATGATGTAATGTACAGCACTTCTTATGATGATTACAGGTGATTTTTTCCTTGTAAACTAGCTGAAACCCAATTTTTGAGATTACAAATTTTTTCAGATGTGCTCCAATTTTTGATTACTAAAGTGCATCTTGTAGCCCACGTGTTACTGATCATTTCTGACACCTATAAGACCTACTTCTGATGAGTGATGAGTAAGATATTGAGTTGTGAAGTTAAGGTTTTTTGGTGTTACATGTGACTTGTGACTGTAAATTCGAGATGATTAATTTTTTGCTTAATATCATAAATAGATCACCACATCCTCCTCTTCTTCCCAAACTGCCCCCAGTTTACCAATCAATAAAATAAATCATCTACTCAATAAATTCGAATTTTTCCTCAAATCTTTAAATATCCTTCTTAATTATAAATATGGTTATCACTACACCTCCATCTGTTGGTTCACCTTGTGTTCAATGCCGCATGGTTCACTCTTCCTGCTTATATCAAATAAATTCTGCGTGTCAAAGATGCCATAACCTTGGTATAATATGCTGTAAGTCTTTTCTTTCATTTCTTCTATTATAATAATCTTCAATGTTTTTATTTATATTAATTAATTTTATTCCTTTTATACTTTCTTTTATAATTTTTCTTTTAATTCTAGCCTATCCAGCAGCGCCTTCTACCAATATTTCACCTGTACCTGGTTCTCCTACCAACACCTAAGACGCTCAGCTTCGCCTCGCTTTCAGGGCAAAATTTTGCAGCGCGGCGAAAAATCGCTACATGTAGCTCACACAGCGCACCGCTTCTGAAACTGAAGCGCTACACAAGCAAGGCAGCGCGGCGGCTTTTTGAGTCGCTCGCGCTCCGCTTTGTCTATTTCTGAGCCGAGGCAGCGGCGCGGGACGATGTATCTATTCACAATTTTTTAATTTTTTTCATTGAATATACACAAGAAAAAAAGGTTATTTACAAGAAAAAACACAAAATTCAAACACATACTAAACAAACAGCATAAAGAGTGACTTGAAAGGTTATTAGATTAGAAAGTTGATAAGATAGGAGAGTAAAGAAAAGTAAAAATAGCTGTGAGGAGTGACTTTAAAAAAGTTAATAAGATGAGAGGAAATTAGGGAAAATAGGAAAACTTCACCGGGATCAACATGTATATTGACACCATTATAAACTATCAAATAAACCGAATCAAGGTAATTGAGGAGGAAATGAACGAGCGACAAAACAAGATAAGAGAAAACAAACATGAGACAAGAGAAGCAGATAGAATGATTCACACGTGGATGGAGTTGCTTGAAGGATAATCGAATCAATCAATGACAATGATGTGTTTTTTCTTCTTTGCGTGTTTTTCAAAGGAGGAAAGGTAACCAAGAGCTTCAGAGAACTGGTCATTTGTTGTGATACCACCTCTCAACCATTCCCGCGTTCCTACAGACCGTGAGATTGTCTTTGGTTTCAAAGAACCTCGTCCTGGGACGGCGATATCAGCCGCCGAGGAGAATGTTCGTTCCACGCAACACGATGTAGCCAAAATCGACATGAAGTCGCGTGCCAATACAGCAAGCACCTGGAACTTTGATTCGTTTACCTATGTGAGACCAAAGATAAAGAAACAATACATTAGTCCAGAGGTTGGTGAGTGAAAGAAAGGTAATAAGCTTACTTTCCACCACCCCAATTGTGTTTGGCCAGGCATGATCAGCTCATTACCCTGCAAGTACATCTCAAGTTCCGAGGCACGAATGGAATCAGGTGTTTGAAGGATAGCAGATGAGGTGAAGACATCGTATTGATCAAAGACCTCCTGTGAGGTAGAGGAAACCGGAGAAGGGGAAGAGGCGGGAGTAGCTGGCCAGCTGTCCAAAGCCGAATTGAAGTGCTCTTCGATAAGTTCCTTAGCTTGTGAGGCGTGTTGTGGGTAATGCAGATCAAAGAATTTTAGACAGTACTTGGGGTTGAGGACAGTTGCCAGGATGATCACATCAGCATTGGCGGCTTCAGACTGGTATTGGGTGAGCTGAAGTAACATTGAGTCAATCATTGTGTGGAGCGTAGGAAAGTCGGTGTTGTTCTTTATCTCCAAAAGGTTCTCGGACACTCGCAGATACTCCGCCAGGAGCATTGATCCTGAGGCAATGTTGCCCTCCAAACGTTTAGTCGAGGCACAAAAGATCTGGGAAACAAAGATATCAGAAACATGGAACAGAGAAGGCAAGGAGTATGTAATGAAAGAGAGGGAGATACTTACTTCTAAAATCTTACATAAAGAGTCAACCGTGTCCCATTCATCCATTGACATCATGATGCCTTCATAGTATTGAGTTTTCCGATCACCTATAAGAATAGAATCCACCACCTGGTAATCATTGTAGGTCAGTTACCGTTTCTTTTGCAAAGTAAATCACATCAACTTACATCACGCGCAGCTACAAGGTGCGAGTACATAGCTAAATCTATGTTCCACCGCACTCCCCAACCAGCAATAGGTCCAGGGCCATGGTAGCCCATCTGTTCAGCTCTACCTTTGAATTCTCCTCGCCTGGCGTTGCTCCGGGTGAGCAATGCGTTGAAATGTTTTAACTGTAAAAAGATATTTAACAAGTTAGTTCAAGATCAAAAGACAAAGCAGATAAAGGAGAGAGTACTTACTTTCATTGCGCCTTTGACTACAATACAACCATCCTTTGGGATGTCATCATATGTAAGGTCATCGTCCTCATCGTCAGAACCAGGATTGAGTGAGGCAAAATGACTGCGAGCATTGACAACATCATCCTCATCATCAGAGCAATTGTAGTTGATTGCATCGTCAATGAGATCATCGTTCAATACAACCGTAGGAACTGGTACAGAGAAATTGGGAGGAGTGGTGGGCTTGACGTGACCGGCAGCTAACCCGATTACCTTAAGGCCTTTCTTGACTATCAATCCGAGCTTGTGGGCATAGCAGCGTACGTGGTTTTTTGAAGAGTCCCAATCGATTGGATCATTGCTTTCGGAGAACATAACCTCCATCTCCCGTGCCATGGTGTTGTTTGAAGAACCAGAGTCCTTTGTTTGACCTAACATGTAAGCAAACCGAAAAAATTGAGACAAGGTTAGTGAGACGTTAAAGAAAAGAAAGAAGACATATATTACAACTTATCTTTTTGTGGAGTCCATGCGCTATGAGGAAACACGCCACTGGTTGCGCTAATAAATACCCGAACTTGTTCCATGCTACCAGCTTCAAGCTAAGATGGATCGACCGATAGTTCCATTGGTCATCGATGAAGTTTGCTGAGACGCCTATGAAGGCATACCTGTTACCTTTGGTGGTCCACACGTCGTGGACCAATGAGAACTTGCCGGTGTTTTCCTGAAACAGAACCAATGCGTTGTTAGTTTATGTTTAATCGATGATAGCAAGTTGAAAGAGAGATAGACTTACAGATACTAAGGCTATCGCAGCCGTGCTCAAGCTGAGATACAAGTCTTTGGCCACACCAGCGGCCCAAGTTGGAGTCCTCAGTTCGGCACGTCGATCGGCGAGTTTGAAAGCCGCACGAAGAGGAACATCATAGAAACGGTTAAATGGAAGGGCGTGCTTCATAATCCACATCACCAATACGGTGTTGCATAAGTCGACACTGAAGGTTGATGACGAGAGAAACGAGTCGAGTGACATTTGACCATTCATTTCGTTTGAAGAGGCAGCAGCTGCTTGCTCTTGAGCCCAGGTGAGAGGGAGTACACATCCTGCCCTGATGGCACGAGCTCTTTGAGGGCAAGAGGCTCGTCCTTTACCACCATCACGATGTGCATAGATATTGTAGAATGTACAAAAACCACGAGCGAAGACACCGTGACACCAACGGCACTTGTAGCCTCGTGGATCGTCTCCTGTCTAGAAAAGGAATAGATTGAGACAAAAAATGAAAAGAAATGAAAAACGAAGATAAACAAAATGAATCAACTTGATGATGATCTGGTTGAAGCCGAGAATAAAAAGACATACCTCTTTTTTGATATGAACAGGAGGATAGAAGTACTCCAAGAAGGTGGCAAGACGACCTGGACTGCGCATCACTCCTTCGGTTTCAACGACTTCGATATCGGAGTCCTGGTTGACGTCGATACAATCTGGTATCCCAACCTAAGTCATCAAAGCAAAAAGTGAAAGGAAAGAAGATGAAATGATGGTTAATGATCTATGTAAATGATCATGCTAGGTTTAACAAGGAAAACTTACAGGTACAGCGGCTTTTTTGAGCTTCTTGACTGGTGCGCGAGGTAAGGTTTCGGAGGCACCAGAGCCTCTTGGACGGCCCTTGGCCTTTGAACGAGCCTTGGATTTCACA